TGAAGAGGAACTAAAAAGCCTCTTGATGAAAGTGAAGGAGGAGAGTGAAAAAGTTGGCTTAAAGCTCAACATTCAGAAAACTAAGATCATGGCAACTGGTCCCATCACTTCATGGCAAGTGCAGTGGAAACAGTGTCAGACTTTATTTTTTGGCTCCAGAATCCCTGCAGATGGTGATTGCAGCCACTGTCTCTGCATTGCCAGGTGGATGCTTTACCAGGAGCACGACCTGGGGAGCCCATATATTTATGCATCTTCATACAGCCATCTGTTGATGGGCAGTAGGGTTGCTCCCACATCTTGACTACTGAAAGTAGTGCTGCTATGAACTTTGGGTTGTGTGTATCTTTTCAAGTTAGTGTTTTTGTTTTTTATAGATACATACCCCAGTGTGGGATTGCTGGATCATATAGTATCTCTACTTTTAGTGTCTAAGGAACCTCTTTAATGTTCTCCATAGTGGCTGCACCAATTTACACCCCATCAACAGGGTAGGAGGGTTTGTTTTTCTCCACGTCCTATTAACAACATTTGTTTTTTATAGACTTTTTGTGGTAGCCATTCTGACAGGTGTGAGGCTATATTTCATTGTGGTTTTTATTAGCATTTCTCTAATAATTAACAACATTGAGCTTTTTTTCAGGTACTTGTTAGTAGTCTGTATGTATTCTTTGGAAAAATGTCTGTTCAAATCTTCTGCCCATTTTCTGATTGGATTGTTTGCTTTGTTTGGTTTTTTTGAGATTGAGTTGCAAGAACTGTTTATATTTTGGATATTATCCTGTTGTCAGTTCCATCATTTGAAAACATTATCCTCCCATTCTGTAGGTTGTCTTTGTTTTGTTGACAGTTTCCTTTGCTGTGCAAAAGCTTTTAAGTTTAATGAGGTTCCATGTGTTTATTTTTGCTTTTATTTCTTTTACCTTGATAGACTGATCTAAGGAAGCATTCCTGCAGTTTATATCAGAGAATGTTTTCCCTTTATTCTCTCCTAGGAGTTTTATGGTGTCCTGTCTTGTACTTAAGTCATTAAGCCGTTTTGAGTTTGTTTTGTGTATGGGGTGAAGGAGTGCTCTAATTTCATTGATTTACATGTGGCTGTCTCAACACCACTTGCTAAAGAGGCTGTCTTTTCTCTGTTGTATAGTCTAGCCTCCTCTACCACAGATTAATCAGCTGGGTGCATGCTTTTATTTCTGGGGTGTCTATTCTGTTCCATTGATCTATGAGACGTCACATAATCTTAATTTCTGTAAGTGTCCCATGAGAAGTCCACTTTCTATATGAGAGCGGGAGTGGGGCCAGTTGAAAGGGACTGAGACTGGGGAGTATCTGTTGGATATTTGCAACTACTCTTTGCATCTACTGAGTTGCATCAGGTTGTAGTTGATCTCTTTGCATCAAAGAGTTGCAACATCTCTTTGCGACTACTGTTATACAGAGGTTTGAAAGTGTTTCCTAGGAAAACAATCTGAACTGTGTCTGCAACTGAGTTTCAATCATATATATATAAACACACACACACATATATATATATGTATATAAAATGCAGTCTCATAAATCTGCTTTAAGTGACTCCTCAGTGAGATAAAGGGAAAGTTATTATCAAGTTATTTTATCATTAAAGCTATTGTTATGTCACCCCTCCAACCCCATGCCTTAGGTACTGATTTTCTAAAAGGACCAAGCCTCTTGTTAGATAACGGATACACTGACTACATGCACAATTACGTAGTCAGAGGCTTTGGATATGAGACTCTGTAACATTAAGTGTGGACAGGACAAGCCTGGACAAAGACCGGTCAGTAACTACTGGAAGGGATCCAGTTTTCCTTTTGACCGCCAGAGGCCAAGTGCTCCCCAGCTCAACTCCATTTCTTCAAACAAGTAGCGAGAGCCGGCCGTGTACACGGTGACCTGCTAGGACACTACAGTACCTGAGAAATACAGGTAAGGCGGCCCGCTTAAGGGTCAAAGGAGTTATTAGCAGAGCGGTCCATTCTAGTTAGATGGATTTTAAAATATTCAATGGACACTCATTAAGAAACAAACGATGGCATTTGAACTTAGCTTCTAAAGATGAACAGGGTTCTGATGGGCAGAGAAAGCATGGGGAAGGCTATTTCAGGGCAAGGTTTGTCTGCCAAAATTGTGCTTCAGTGGAGAGCTAAGCTCTGGAGAAAGATCCTTTCGGTTATCTGATTCTGAGACATGTTTTACAACTTTGTAAATTGGAGGTAACTGATCACAATGTACGTTAGTTTCCTGAGGCTGCCTTAAAAATTGCCACAAACTTGGTAGCATAAAACAATAGAAATTTATTCTCCAGTAATTTTGGAGGCCAGAGACCTGAAACCAAGGTGCCGCTGGGCCCTCTCCCTTCGAAGGGCCCCCTCGGGAGATTCTGCCCCTTGTCTCTCTGAGGTTGGCGGCTCCAGGTCCTCCTGCCTCCGACGTCTCACTGCCTCCTCCCCTTCGGACTGCCGCTCTGTGTGTGGCTCTTAAGAATACATTACTGGACTGAGGCCACACCCTGATAATCCCAGATGATCTCTTCATGTCAAGATCCTTAATTACATCTGCAAAGACCCTCTTTCCAAATAAATTAACATTTACAGTTTCTAGGAGCTAATACAGGGACACATCTTTTTGAGGACTACCATTCAACCTGCTAACGTGCAAAGTAACTCTTATCTGCAGCCATGCACATTATGTCTTTTCTTAGAGTTTCACTTGACGTTCCTACCTCAGCCCCTTTTGGAAAAACCAGGTTTGCTCCCACTTGCACATTCAATATTTCTGATTTGTAAATAAGTCTGCTTTTTGGTTTCTTCTATAACATCTACATGGTACCTTCATTTATTTAGCTAAATAAAATATTTAACATGTGTTTATTTTATATCAATATAAAAGTTTTTATTTTGAGGAATAATTATCTTTTAATGGTAGCTACAGGTGAAAAATGCGAAAAAAGAATGTTATGAATTGATCATTTATTTATTGCCATTCTCTCTCCTTGAGGAGAAGGGAATGACAGAGGATGAGATGGTTGGATGGCATCACCAACACGATGGACATGAGTTTGAGTAAGCTCTGGGAGTTGGTGATGGACAGGGAAGCCTGGCGTGCTGCACTCCATGGGGTCACAAAAAGTCGGACACTACCGAATGACTGAAAGGAACTGAACTGATTCTCTCTCCATTAGAATGTAATGTCCATAGTAGTACGCATTTTTATCTGTTTTGTTCACTGATCTATTTCCAGTGCTGAAAAAGTGCCTGCATTTTATAACAAAAAAAATGAATGAGTGCTGAATTTTAAAAAATAAGCAATTTTTTTTTTGCTCGGGCATTTTATATTTGAAAGTGCATAATGGAGTAGTTGTGATGAGGAAGCAGGGTGCAAACGCTGGTGGCCTTGAATGCCAGGCAAAAGCATTTGGACTTATTTTGTGAGTCATCGAAGGTGCAAGTTGATGCTTTATTGAATTATATTTTTGTCTCCATCTGTTTTCTGAAGCTAGACTATGAAGACTTTGCCAAATAACAGTGGTTTATGTTCTGTGTATTATTCTTTCACCAAGAGATAAAAGAAAATTAAGATTTAACCCTAAAATGTATATTTAATATTGACAACACGTATTAATCATCAGTTCAGTTCAGTTCAGTTGCTCAGTCGCATCCAGCTCTTTTCAATCTCACGGACTGCAGCAAGCCAGGCCTCCCTGTCTATCACCAGCTCCCAGAGTTTGCACAAACTCATGTCCATTGAGTTGGTGATGCCATCCAACCATCTCATAAGTGATTTTGGAGCCCCAAAATAAAGTCTGTCACTGTTTCCATTGTTTCCCCATCTATTTGCCATGAAGTGATGGGACCAGATGCCATGATCTTCATTTTCTGAATGTTGAGTTTTAAGCCAACTTTTTCACTTTCATCAAGAGGCTTTTTAGTTCTTCTTCGCTTTCTGCCATATAAAATAGCCTTATGAGACTATCATGCTCAAGTTCTGGGTATTGATTCTTGACAACTGGATGAAGAATTTAACATTGATCAGATATCAACATAATCTTAGTATAGCTGTACACATCAGAAATTATTTTGGGGATTATAGTATTTTTGGAAGATTATTACTATTTATTGCTGATAAAAGATGATACAAATGCTTTCAATTTTAAATCCTAGAAATTCATAAGTATGAAAAAATCCAGTGCAAAACCAACTTTAAAAAAATGAAAAAGGTGGTGGAAAATCATGCTTGTTTTCTAATTTTCTGTCTTTGCCATATAATTTTTTCACTATTTAATTACATCAGCACATATTCAAATATTTTTCTTAGCTACCGATGGTAGAAAATCAGCTTGGACTGTATTTTTTTACAGTTAGAATAATCTTGGTTCAAAAGGTTATTGAGATGCCAAGGAGTTTTGAAGCTTAGTTAAATATCCTCTAATCTGCTGCTGGGTTACCCAACAAAAAGAATATGTGTATGCTGACATCATTGTAGGTTTTTACAAGTTGATACCTTTTTTTTTTTTTTAAAAAAAAAACCTTATTCTAAAACTCATGGAATTATTCACTATGAGGGACTTGTCAGATTGAGTTTAGCATAGCCTAAAGCATTTGCCCAGGTCCAGGAGAGATTTGAGTCAGGTGCAGGGTGTCTGTTTTTCAGGCTTGGTCCTGGGTCTGCTTTGTGTTTCAAATCAATGGCTCCCTTGTAGTCAAGGCTACAGTGACGCATTCAGAGGCCAGGGAGACATGCAGTCCCAGCCCTGAAGTTGGAGAAAAGAATACAGACTGTTAGAACTCAAATTAGTCTCTCGGATGTTTTAGTGATAATCAGGTCATTTGTTTTTACAGATAGTTTTTAAGATACTGCAAGTATTAACCCAAAGCAAAATTACCCTATTGTTTCCAAGCCTAACAGTTTTCTCTCTTAATAGATCACTGTGTAAGAACAGGTCTCTAAATATTCACTCAGACTTTATTTGTTTCGGGGGTAAAGTGAAAGGAAAAATTATGGTTTCAAGAATGTAAAAAGGTACTGATACATTGCTGCCATTATACATCTCCCTGTGAAGTTATTTCTTTAATGGGCTGCCAAATGGGTAGAGATGAGACCAGGAGGAATAGTAGCTGGCTGACCTTTAAGTATTTTGTTTCTATTGACTTATTTGTTTCTATTGACTCATATTTTAGCTCTAAGTTAGATATTCCTATAGGAATATCCCTTAACTTAGAGCTAAAAAATGCTTTTAATTGGTTGAGAGATATCACCCTAAACTGATCTAGTGAACATTGCTTGTCTTCACATATCAGCTGGAAACTTACCATACTTAAAAAAAAAAAGTATTATTATTTCTCTCCTAGAGATCCTTAGAGAAGAACTATTTCAGACCGTGCTATTCCTTGTCTTTTTTTTTCTTCTTTTTTTATTAAACACACATACCCACCCACACACACACACACACCCACACACCCACATGAAATAAATATGTAGGCAATGAATTGACTCTAGTCATCTTATGTGGGGTTCGGGGGAAGTGGAAGATGTTCAAACTGGAAGAGACTCAAGCAGCATGAATCTGCTCATAAAGCATGGAAACAAATTAGCTAATTAACTAGCAAATTTGCAGTTTCTACCCAAGAGAAAAGGTCTTTGGCTACTAACACATGAGCAGGCTGAAGAGCTTCTGGAGACACTGATGTGAATAAAAACTCCAAAGACAGTTCAGCTTTACCAGTAAACAATCTGATATGTGAAGATGATTAATCAGTTTCCACTGATGGGGTGGGTGTCTGACTTTTTTGTAAGCGTCAAGTGCTTCAGGATAAAAAAACCATATATCCCTTGAATAAAATCTTCTTTAGCTGAGAAGTGTCTACCTAGGAAGAGAAAGGTAAAGAAGATTGGATGGGGGCTGGGAATAACGCTTAAAGGGTTCTGTTAACACTGGATAAGGCTGTAGTTGTACCTACCTTGCTATCCTTTATGTGCCATAATATCCGTATAATGCATAATTTTAGAAGATGATTAAGATGATTCTAATTACAGTAATACAGAAGTAAATGATTTTCCCAGATGTCAACAGAAAAAGAAGCGGTTGAGTCTTTGTCCTTTCCACTGTTTCCCTGTAGGGAAAGAGCAGTTGGCCAAGATGGTGGTGGTCATGCTCTCTCGGCCGTCGCCCTCTCGCTCTGACCCCACGTTTTGTGAATGCGTGGTTACGTAACGGCTGAGCGCGCTCATAGCACTGCACATGCGCATCGCAATGTAGCTGTTCGGCCAGAGGCCGAGTAAACACGTATAAGCTGCCCCTGAGAAGCCCCTGCGTCCGCGTTACGGAGGGGTTACGGCCGTGTCCGCTGGGTCAGTCAGGGCGGAATGCCGCGCGTCTGCTGCTGTGGCTGCCGGGCCGGGCCGCAGAGGATAAGCATGTCCGGGTTTTCTTCCAGCTTCCCCTCTCGTGCCTTGCCTGCCTTGGGTTCAGCGGAACAGTGAGACACCGCAAGACATTTTCCAAACTCCGTTTCTTATAGAAGCCAGGTTAATAAGATTCAGTGCACTTTCTTTTTTAATTTATGTACAGAAGACTTCACCTTTTGGGATGTACTGTTTTAAGATTTTTGACACGTGTGTAAAGTCTTGTGACTACCGCCAAAATCGAGGTGTAGAGAAGACAGCTTAAACACTCTCCACCACCCCTTCCTGCTGTATTTTTAGTCACCCCTCTCTCCACACTTAATCCCTGGCAACCATGATCTGTTTCCTCATTCCTGTAGTTTTGCGTTTTCCATGGTGTCATGTAAATACAATCATTTACATACTTTTTTCTTTTTTCTTTGTCTTCAGAATCTCAGGAACATCTAGGTGCTTAAAAAAGGAAAAAGATAGGAGGGAAGGATTAATTAGGAATCTGCGGTTAAAATAGTCACATTATTATGCATAAAATAGATAACAACAAGGACCTACTATATAGCACAGGAACTATGCTCAATATCTTGTAATAAACTATAATGGAAGAGAATGTAAAAACACTATACATATAGATGTATAACTGAATCACTTTTCTGTACAACTGAAACTAACACAACATTGTAAGTCAACAATATTTCAATGAAAATTTTTTAAAAAGGAAAAAATAAATTGAAGATGTCATAGTTGCCAAGGGTACTAAATTGTTACATTGGCATTTAATTATTAAAAAAATAAATACATGGGGGTATCAGTTATGATTCCTAGGCTATGAATCTCCTCTTGGCCCGTGAAAGATAAGCTCAGCTCATGTACATCAAATGAAAACAAAGGACTCTTGCCTCTAAAAGGATATTGAGCTGAGTGCTTTTGAGACAAGAAAGGATGGTTATTCAGTGAAAGAGGCAAGATCCATTTTCTGCTGGCTTGTGGGTGAGCTGATTGTAGAGTTAGCACTTGATGGATGAATGGTCTTTGAATCCTTCAAATGTGCTTGTGAGGCTACATTTCTAGGTGAAATTGCCACTCCCCTGACCCCTCTGATCAAATCTGCTGGCATGGCTTTCTTGATGGTTTCCAGGACAAGCAGACCTTTGCCTGTGTGGTCTCAGGGAAGCGCCAGATCCCATGTGCTGGTGGAGGGAAGCCTGTCACTCATCAAGGACACACGAGAGCTGCCCTGCCTTCTGAAAACTTTGAAACAAGTTTGGCTGTAAGTTTCACAATTCTTCTTTACCTGCAAGCTCTTTCTTTATGCAGGATGGCTCTTTCCTTTTCCCTGCCAAGCCTCTTGCTTTGCTGAGGGATCAAAAATGTTCCCATCAAAGGAAGGTGCTTGTCTTGAGGTGGTCCTCAGGGCCTCATGCACATTCATCCCAACTTGACTTCACTTGCTCAAAAGAGCAGACGTGCTACACATATTTGGTAAATGGTTTTGGATAATGAGGATATCAATTTTAAAAAATTTTAAAATGTTCATCTTCATAAAGGGCTGCAGAATAATCTTTCCATTTAGCCATAGTTAAGGAGGCTGTCTGGGGTCAAAAAGCATATCTTGGACAGGTAAATTTTACTGTTATATTGTAGGTGTTTCTAAGACTTGGAGATATTTTACTAAATTCTGTTTTAAAATGTTTCTAAATACATTAAGGAATTGCAAATACATGTAAATTATTTAAATACATGTAGTAAAACAGTATCTTGAAATATTCATTTTTGTGTTTTACTTTTCCCCACTTATTTATGCATGATCTTTCTTCCACATTAATCCAAGAATAAGATTGTTTTACTAGGACCAAAAGATTAATAGTTCGTCCATCTTTATTATTTAAAAAAAAAATGATCCAAGTCACACTCTTGTTAATCACCAGAAAGAAATATGTGAAGTAAACCAGCCCCAGATGGTGTGAATTAACAATAGATTTGGAAAGACATGGAAGAAGCAAGCACTCTACCCACGCTGTCCTCCAACCCCTTGAGATCAGAATCGGAGTTTTTAGAAAGAGGCAGAAATGACGGAGGGCGAGCAGGAGGTAGGAACTTCACTTCCAGGAGACTGGACGGAGGGGAGACGGGAGGGTGGGAGCTGGCCGGACCCCAGGTGTGGAGCTGGGGTGTGAAACTGCCGAGAACCACACAGGCTGAGAGGTGCCGGCTGTCTCTTGAGGGAAGCAGAACTCCTTGCTTTGGGGAAACTGCCAAACGTTGAGCCCAACTGATGCCGGAGACTCTCTGATGCCCCTGAACTCTCAGCAGTCCAGAACAGGCTTAAGCTCTGAGCGACAGAATAGTTATCCTCAGTACTCAAAAGGGGATGGGAATGTGTCAGAGAGAACCCCAGCCCTGGCACTTGAGTGAGGCTGGCTGGCAGTGAAACTGAGAAATAAGGAAAGGTAATTATTCAGTTACTGAAAATAGGGAACGTAATTCGAGTAGCCATAGGAGATAGGCTGAGTGTGGGCATCACTGGAGCAGCAGAAACTCAACATTTCTCTCTGGTGAGTCCCGCTGCCCTCATCCCTGTTTCTGTTTTTCCCTTGGAGCCCTTCTACTTGCATCAAATTCACAGCTGGCTGCCACCAGCCTCTCAATGAAGCTGCCAACTTGACACATTTTGGGTAGAGGTTTGCCTTTTTAAGTGTGGCAAGTTAAACATGAAAAACTTTTCTTGACCCAAAGCGGAGTTTCATGGTAGGATTAGAAGTTTTTGGAGGTTGTGTAGGAAAAACTTAATTGAGTAATAAAAAGGATTGAGCTATTGATACATATAATTGTTTTAATGAATAAAAAAAACATGCCGAGTGAAAGGAGTTAGACCAAAAGGGTATATATCATATGATGGTATTTATGTAAAACTTTAGAAAGTGCAAAGTAAATTTGAGGTACTGGGAAGGGACAGGAGGTAGGGGTTTCAAAATGGCACAAGGAGACTCTGGGGATGATGGACATATTTGGTGTCTTGATTGTGATGACGGTTTTGTGATTGTACATGTATGCCAAAACATATCAAAGTGTACATTTTAGATATGTACAGTTTACTGTATATAAACTGTGCTTCAATAAAGCTATTTGAAAAAGAAACAAATGAACAAAACTTGATGGAGTAAGGAGCCTTGAACCAGAGCGGACAGCTGCCTGCAGCACCTACCTATAAAGATGTTGCCTGAAAACTGCCTCTTGGTAGGTGTTGAGCCAAAAGGCACAACTAGGCCAAAGAGCGGGAGAAGGAAGGATTTAGCACTTGGGGCAAGTAAGGAGAATACCAGGGGTCTTTCCCAAAGCAGTATCTTATGAAGGAGCTTGGACTGTTGACAGAGCCCAAGTTTTAGTTGATTGAAGTGATGAGCATCAGAAAAGAGCAACATATCATCCCTTCAGTTCAGTTGCTCAGTCGTGGCTGACTCTTTGCGACCCCATGGACTGCAGCACGCCAGGCCTCCCTGTCCATCACCAACTCCCAGGCATGCTCAGACTCATGTCCATAGAGTCGGTGATGCCATCCAGCCACCTTATCCTCTGTTGTCCCCTTCTCCTCCTGCCTTCAGTCTTTCCCAGCATCAGGGTCATTTCCAATGAGTCAGCTCTTTGCATGAGGTG